AATTTTTTAAACGTTCCGGTTCGTAAAATTTTTCATTTCGAGCACTGCTTATAAATATATGTTAATTAATGCTGGGAATTTTATAAAAATTTTTTCACTAAATGGTAAGTATTATAAGTTAAAACACAGAAAAAATACATTGAGAACCCATAATCTCAATTTAATGTATTTAAGGTGAGCAGAGACAACAAAAATAGACCTACAGAATAAAACGATCTGTTTTAGGTATCTATCTTAAACTCAATACAAACATTATGRCTGTGTTTTTTTTCTCCACTTTTCAAGTAATTAAACGTAATAATTGACAATTACTTCAGTAAACACTATTTATTTCATGTAATACGCATACTGAGACTGTAARAAAAGTTAATACTAAAGAAGTTTGAAAACCAAAAAAATAAAACCAAGTCTTCTTGTGACAAACTCTTGTCACTGGTATACTACCAACAAGTGCGAGGTATAAAAAGTCAACGGGGAAAAAGTCAAAAACATTAAAAGTTCATGGTGAAAATGTCTGGTTCAAATAATTAGGTAAAATGAAAAATACGATATGATRTACAATTAAACTTTCGATTAGTATTAATATGAATTGTAACTAGATTATATTTACTTGGCAAAATTAATGAATAATCTAGTATACCGCAATAACTACTTTTTTGGACTTTGAACACTGCTTGACTTTTAGCTGCATGTAATAATCAAATATCTACTATTTCTTTTATCTTAATTATCTGGTTTGTTGAGTTTTACTATTATAGTCTATACATCCGATATGTCCACCGTGTACAATATGTATACATGAATAGGTAACTGAACAGTTGCAATTTTTGTCAGTATAGTACGACATTTTGTTAGTTTGTTATTGTTTGCTCTCGAAGAAAAAATTGTAAATTTGAAAATATGATATATAAATCATACCATCAACAACACCACATTAAACTTGTTTGCGGCGCAAACAATATCGATAATTCAAATATATAATATAATAAAYAATAATATAATATCAATAATTCAAATTTACGCGGTTTTCAATTATTTATCAATATTTTTCTTATCAATAATTCAACCAATCACAGAGCAGGACGTGAAAATAGTCACTTCCTATTTTTTTTATATAAGTTTATATAAATTTATAATCATTGAATTTTTTTTTTAACAAATTATTTTAAATTTTGTTATGTATATAATATACTCTAGACTTTTTTACCAGGATTTTTTACTTATTCCTTGTCACTTTTACACTTATCAGTTATCACTTATCGTTATCAATACACCGTACTTGTGCTTTTTTTGCTTTATTTTGATTTTTGATATAATATCAACACAATTTTATTTCTTAATATTAAATAATATCCAACTCCCTTCCTACGGAAATTTAGATTATCTTTAGAAGTATCCCTTTCTCACCAACTTCTCCTCAAACACTCAACACCCACCATGTATGTAAGTCTGTCTTTGAAGTATTGTGATTTCATAAAATATAAGTATTGTATGTGAATACCCACACTGATTTCCATCTGATCTGGTTAGTTCAAGGCCACTRAGAAAATGAACACATTGAAAACAATTCGACTACTAGAACTTGTTGGTGAATGGTAGTTTCAACTTTTAAGAATTTCACAATTTTCGGACTTACGTTTAAATTAACAAATACATGTTTTTGTTGTACTTAAAATTATATTTTCCGTTTTTCATGTGACTTACCGATTGTACGTGGTGATTTAGTTCGTATAATATTTTTAATATTATATTGTACCTACATTTGTTACTTCAGATAATAAACAACAGTCAATAATATTCACTCAGGTAAGAAATTTTATCTAAGTAAAAAAAAAAAAAAAAATGAATTGTGTAATGTGTATTATAATTGGTATTTTGTGGAAAGTGTCAATTTATATGTAATTGATTTGAATTATTTACATTTTGAGCTATTTCTTTAATTTGTAGTTAATTATTTGGTACCACTACATTGTTTTTATCCATTTTTACTCCATGAATTGTTGATCATTAAATAATATGAAATTTTAGAAACATCTATCCAACAATTTTGCTCTGTTTTATAAATTAATTTTACTATTAAAATAATCAGGTCTTCRATACTTTTACATAATAAATTAAACAATTTATTAGTTATCAAATTATTCAGTTTTAGCTTGTACTGGCTTGTACTTAGCTTCAAACTAGTTAGATATTGTGCATGTGCTTTTATCTGTTATTTCYAWTTGGATGTAGCATGTATGCTTACTTCCATTGTATACTTGAATATTGATAATATTTAAATTTCAGCTTTTGGAAATTAAAAGTATATTTCTGTAAAAATTTTACTGGATGTACCTTTCAAGACCATGTCTTGTATTGCAGTTTCAACATATTGGTTCATTTGATATATATAATATATTACTCAATGTAAATATTTTCTACTTTCAATTGAAGTACCTATACACCATATTCTTAAATACTTAGATAGGTAATTAGGTATCATATTAAATTCATGAAGTAGATCAAATCATGGGATATTTTTGATTTGCGGAGTGAAGCGATGTCACCAAGGAGCGTAACAATGGGAGCTGAAACATGCATATAGTCATTGGTAGTGAATAAACAGAAAAGGTCAGGAATAATTTATGCTGTATTCAAAGTT